TTGTACAGAATGTATCTTTATGCACAAGAAATGGGCTCTTTTTGCTAACCATCAGCTTACAAGTCTTGATGAGGTGACAGCCTCTGATGTCTCTTCTACTTCTCAATTGCTAGCTCCAGCTAAACAGGAGGCAACCCTCACTTGCTCTGTACCTGGTCATGAAGATTCGTTAAGGTATTACTGTGACACATGTGATGAATCTATCTGTCGTGATTGTATCATGCTGGCTCATAAAGATCACAAGTATAACCTAATAGCTAATAGTTTTACTAAACACAAAGAAGCACTGGAAAAATCTCTTAATCCGGTAAAAGGGAAAATTGAAGGACTCAAGAAGGTCCTGTCTGCTCTAGCAGAGAGAGAGGGTGAGATCAGAGAGAGAGGAGAAGGAGTCTTAGAAGAAATACATGAAATGGTAGAGGAAATGATGAATGTTCTTCGCGAGTCAGAGAGGAAACTAACTGAGCAGGCAAAGAGGGTCACTGATGATAAACTAAAGGTGCTGTCAGAGCAAATGAAATCAGCAGAAATAAGTTTAAGTGTTCTGGAGGATGTTGAGGATTATGTAGAACAGAGTCTGAAGACAGGCAGTCCTCAACAAGTCCTGAGGTGTAAGAAACAGATGATGGAGTGTATGAGTGAAGTTACTGCAGGGATCAATGTGGAGGAGTTACATCCAAAGGAAAAAGCCAACTTTGTATTGAGTAAAGATATCAAATCACCACATCACATTGGAGATATTGTGACCTACTCATCTACTGCACTACAGCAGTGTAGAGTAAAGAAAGTTGGTTACTTTGAACATATACCAAAAGAGAAAAAAGTTTCGTTTTCACTATCAATGGAGGCACCAGATTCATCTGTTTTGTGTGTTCCCCTCTCTTCTCTGAAGTGTAGTGTAGTACTAGTTGGTAAAGGTGATGAACCCATTGACACTACAGTGACTACCACCAGCACTGATCCTGGAGTGTATAGGATACAGTGTAACCCTTCAACCAGTGGTACTCATACAGTAAAAGTACAAGTATCTGATGTACACCTTGAGGATACCTCACTAGTCATCCCTATCAATCCTTACCTTGATAACATCACTCCAGTATGTACTATAACTAAGCTTATATGGCCCTGGGGAGTTGCTGTAACTGATGATAATCATCTTATAGTAACTGAAAGTGGTGGAAACTGTATAACAATACTGGATAGAAAAGGAAAGAAAGTAAAATCATTAGAAGGGGAAGGAGGAAGTGGTAATGTCAAGTTTTCTCCTCGTGGTGTAGCCATTACTCCAGACAAATTCATTCTTGTATCTGATAGTAATAGGATCCAGAAGATAAGCATGTATGGATACCTTATGGCATCAGTTGGTGAGTATGGCAGTGGACCACTACAATTCAAGTATCCTCGTGGTATAGCCATTTCTCCTATAACAGGACAGGTTTATATTGCTGATTATAGTAATCATCGTATACAAGTCTTGAATCCTGATCTAACCTTCTCTCATTCATTTGGTAGTGAAGGATCAGCTAATGGACAGTTTAAGTCTCCATATGGCATTGCTATTGACAGTCAAGGATTAGTGTATGTTGCTGATAGTGATAATTGTTGCATTCAGAAGTTCTCTCCAGATGGAAAGTTTGTGGGTAAGTTTGGTACTTATGGATCTGGTCCTGGACAGCTTTATATGCCAACAGGTATAGCAATAGACACTGCAGCTACTGGTCTAGTGTATGTTGGTGAAGAAGGCAATGGTCGTATATCAGTCTTCACTAGTGATGGTGTGTTTGTTAGGAAGTTTGGAAGTAAAGGCAGTAATATTGATCAGTTTAAAAGTCTTTATGGATTAGCATTTGATAAAGATGGATTCTTGTATGTTTGTGATTATGGTAATAATCGTCTTGTTGTTTATTAGTTATTAATGATTTCTTTTATATTGTTAATGATCATTATTAGTTAATTATATACTGATACAGTCACTGGTATGTGTACTGAGAATACACTCAACATAACTTCAATAGCACCGCAATATCCTAATAACTAGGAGAAGAAATTATTTCTCCTCTTGAAAACTATGCAATTAGATTATTTATGCATGCTTTTAAGATGTGTAGAATCAATAATGTAGTATGATGCATAAAATTGAAATAATTGTTAATAAGAATTACCATTATCATCATCAGGAGACCAGGTTATATGCTACTAAGCACATGCGAGTGTTTCTTCGTGTTAATGCTCCTTTCTTCTCCAACTGGGGTATGGAGATGCTGATTGGTCAGTTGTACGACACTGAGGAGCCAGTGAGGGAGGAGGCCATTGATATACTGGACGAGGCTTGTGAAGAAGAGGTGGGTGTGGCTTAATAGGTCACATGACTAAGAATAATTTGCATGTACATGTAGTCCAGCCTGTCTGGAGGTGTGTGTGTATAAGTAATGTAATACCTGAGGACTGAGATATCTGCTTGAGGTGAAGCTGAGGGCAGATATCAAGGGACTCAGGTATTACATTACTGATAATCACCTCCAGACACACACACACACACACACACACACACACACACACACACTGGCCACTACATATACTGTACTTATATTAAAAATAAACATGTACTATTATATTTAATCTCTTCTATTTTTTCCAGTCATTCCTGGAAGCCCTAGTACTGCAGCACCCTGCGCTACTCCACCTGTCAGAGAGAGGAGTATCATTATTAACAAGATTCATATCAGTGAAGAGGGGATACTCACTACTCTCACGACTGGGACATTTGAAAACTGAACTGGATGCATGGCTCAAAGTAATAACAACAATAATAATAATAAGATATACACGTAGTGCTTTGGTGAGCTAATGCACATTATGTGGCTCTGTAGATCTCCTCTCCTCTCCCCCTGAGGTGATGGATGGGTCTATTTAACTTTTTGTTTATTTTGTTCCTTTTGGGTTCTCCCTCTTCTCCTTTATGTATATTTTCTCCTCATTTTGTTGCCCTTTTCCCTCTCATTGATATTTTATAAACACAATAGTAACCTGGGCTATGATTATAATTTATGGAATTCTGACCCTTTCCCTCTCTTTTTTAGGATTACAATTATCGTTATGTCTCAGTGGTGGAGCAGAGACTGGCTGAGAGTCTCACTAGTTATCGTCAAACCAAAGAGGGAGAGTTCCACCGGAGGAAAGGAGACGCTGGCACTTTTAAAAACGTACAAACGTTTGTACCAGTTCACTTTTACGGCCAATTAGTGAGGCATGAAGAGGGGTGTGGCCTACTCAAAGAAGAGGTGGGTGTGGCTAATTAATTAATGGGTGTGGTCTACTATTATTATTAATAGGGTCATATTAGTAAATTGATTGAGTTACTACAGAAAGAGCCAAACACTTCAAACGATATACTTGAAATAAAAGCAGCTGCCTGGGCTCTGGTGAGTGTACGGATGCCTGCATGCACGCATATCATTAATAAATTATTATTATTTTATTTTAGGGTCATATTGGTACTTCTGTTGGTGGGTTAGACCTGTTGCTAGGCGATGATGTCATACAATTGTTAGTTAAAATAACGGAATCATCTCCAGTAGCAACAATAAGAGGGTAAGGACAATCACTGTAGTACATGTACATACATCAAACATTATTCTATATTACTATCATATAGTGGGAAATTTTGGAGGGACTAAAATTTGGCGAATTGCTAAATTTGGGTGATTGGCAGATTTTAATTTGGCAAATTTGTGGCCACGTGCCATTGAGCATGTGTATAATGGCTCAAAATGGCGGATTTTATTTTGGCAAATGACAATATCTAAACGCCAAATTCGCCAAATTTAATTCCCTTCAAAATTTCCTGCTATACAGTATTGCTTCATTTCCCCCCTCCATTTCTAGAACTTGTTTCTATTCTCTGTGTCTCATATCTAAGACTCCTCAAGGAGCAGATGCTCTATTAACCCACGGCTGGACTTCAGTCCGTCACTCCAGTGATGAGAAATGGCCACTGATCCTTTCTGAGGCCATTGAGGATGTTATTCACATTCCTTCATCTCCTCTCTCTCCCAGTTCCTCTTTCAATGGAGTGATGTCAGTGATAGAGGAGAGAGGGAGGGCCGGGGACTCTCCTAAGAGAGAGGGAGAGAAGAGGAGACAAAGTTCACCCTCTCATACTGGTACGATACATGTACATGTACATATACACATGTATGTATGTATATATATGCTTTTTGATTTTTGACACAAAAAGGAAGAATGGAATAAGGAATCCATTATTATGATCTGTTATTATATTATTTATGTACATGTATATGTACACTTTTATTATTATTATTATTTATTCATTTATTGTTGTTGTTGTTGCTGTTATTATTATTGTTGTTGTTGTTGTTAGTGTCAGGTAGAGGTGAGAAGAGGATATCTCGTACAGTCAGTGCAGTTGCTGTACCAGTCAGTACTCCTCCTCGTAACTATGTACTGAGGCCAGTGAGACCAATGGACCTTGGGGAGAAGGATAGGGACAAGTAAATAATAATAATAATAATAATAATAATAATAATAATAATAATAATAATAATAATAATAATAATAATAATAATAATAATAATAATAATAATAATAATAATAATAATAATAATAATAATAATAATAATAATAATAATAATAATAATAGTAGTAATAATACAGATTCTTATGCATGTACATGTACTTATGTTGTGTAGAAAGTTTGAACTGATTCTGATTTAAATTGGATTTTTACAAATTTTAAAAGTTACTCCAAAATTGGGCCAAAGTCCCTGTACTATAGTACAGGGACTTTGGCCAAATTTTGCCAAAAATGGAAAAGTAAAAATTCCCCATTTTTATATTTTTTCCTGATACATATACATGTTTTTATGTTGTGTAAAAAGTTTGAGCCAATTCCAATCAAAATTGAATTTTTATGAATTTTTAAAGTTGTTCAATGGGTTTTTGCTTGTCACGGATTTCGTGACAATGGAACTAATGGGTTTTTGCTTGTCACATTTCAAATAAAAGTTTCAAGTTGAGGTCATTTTAAATTAATATAATTGATTAATAACTAGTTAATTAAACCTGTTCCTATTATACTTGTAGTTCTCATGTCCATGATTCCCCCGTGAGGCGGTCCACTCCTCCCACTGGACGTGGTGTCTCCCTCAACATGACTCGACTCAACTCTCTCACGTCTCTCAGGCCGGGATCAACTGGGAACTTTGTGGGTGTGGTCTTACCTCTGGAACTAAGCAACTTATTTAAAGTTAGAATTTTAATAATAGTAATACAGACTAGCCTCTATATAATGGACACTGTGTCTCTGTTATACAGAGGTGTCCTTTATGTGGAGGTTATACAGTAAGGAATGTAATTGGTACACTAGGTGCTGTCCGTTAAATGGAGGTGTATGCTATAGAGAGTGTCCATTAAGAGAGACTATACTGTACATGTTTTAATTTTATTTTCTTTATTTTTTCAGTTCAAGGAAGACTCTTATAAAGGTTCTAGAGCTGATTATGTATCGACTGATTTATTTGACGATCAGCATCACTTCTTATTGGACAATTTAGTAAACCACACCCACTCGACCCCGCCCCCTCCAACCTCCAACACAAACCAGCAACAAACAGTAAGTTAATTAAATATTTATTTATTTTTTTATTTTTATTATTTCCAGAAGGAGAATGGTGTGACTCCATTAATGGATGATGCTACTCAAGAAAAAACTGAAACTGATGATAAGAAGATTTTAGGATCAAGGTATTAATAATAATAATTCTTACATGTACATGTATACTCTATCATTACTCATCCTCCTCTCTCTCCTTCAGTGTCCATTCTCATACCAGTACATCTTCTGGTTCCGTTACATTTGATGAGAGTTCATATGAAGGACAGTTGATACTGCACAGAGAGTTCCTGGAGATTGTTTATTATCTTTGCTCTGATGTTAGTCTTAGGAAGAATGTACACCATCTTAACCTGTTAGTGGAGGACACTCTCTTTCTTTATCATTAAACCTTCTCTCTCTCTCCCTCTCTCTCTATCCCCCCCCTCTCTCTCTATCCCCCCCCTCTCTCTCTCTCTCTCCCTCTCTCTCTCTCTCTCTCTCTCTCTCTCTCTCTCTCTCTCTCTCTCTCTCTCTCTCTCTCTCTCTCTCTCTCTCTCTCTCTCTCTCTCTCTCTCTCTCTCTCTCTCTCCCTCTCTCTCTCAGGTTGTGTAATAAGTTCCCTTGTCTCTCCCAAGACTCCTCCCTCTACTGGAAGACTATGACGTTACTGTCATTATTTCATTATACTCAGACCAACAGGAGATTAATACAGTCTAAATTTGATGGACTCACTTTTGACGAAGTAATAATAATAATAATATAATTGTAGAACCAAAATCCTAAAATCACTGCATGCACAATATAAGCATACGCTATTATTAAAAGTTGGCTGTAGTTGTTACTATTAGTTCATTTCTTGTCATTTCCTCCTTCAGATATTCTCCACTACCAGACAGTATTACCAAACACACGAGCTCTTGAAGGACCCGCCCAGTTCCCCTACTGGCCCTGCCCCCTCAGCTGACTCTGATACCACATGTAACCGAAGACGAAACAGCACCGGGGAGATACTTAAAACCAAACCAGCAGACCACACCTCCTTAATGAGGGTTGGTTCGTCTCACTCCGAAGAGAAGCTAGACACTAAGTCCATAGCAACGACGACCACTGCTAGCGAAATGGACACCCTTTCTGAGGGAAGCCTTACTAGTAATGAGATGCTGGAGTGGGAGGGGGAGGGAGGGGAAGGGGGCGGGGTCAAGGATGAGGGAGAGAGGGTGAGGGAGGATCAGATCCCGTCTTTGGCTGAGGCAGGGAACAGGTTGAGTCAGTTGGAACTTGACGTGGGGACGTCCTCTAGCATGCCTCCCTCTATTGTGGAGGTGGTCATTGATCTATGAATAATTGATTAGTTATTGATTAATTGATTGTTAATTAATTAGTGATTAATTGTTTTTTGTATGCGTGTGTATAACCTTCATTTTATTTCATTTTTCATTGACTTTTTGACTGTTTTTATTTAGCTATTTTCTGACAATTTTGACTAATTTTTTGTTCCATTGTTATAGTTACTGCTTTTTTAATTTTAAGACAATTTTTGTATTAAAAATGTTGTAATAATATTCTTTTTAGTACAGGATCTTTCGCTAAATTTTAGAGCAGCCTTTAAAATTTTGTAGACGGTTTCTGTATTTAAAAATTATTTGCATACTTTAAAACATAAAAACAATATTAATAATAATAATAATAATAAATGTTGTGGTTTAAGCTATTCTTATTTGTTCGCCTCCAATCTCTTGTCTCTCTCTATCACTGAGTCTTCAAAAGTTATTTCAAAAGCCGTTGTAGTCTGTTCCTTAACTAGGAAAGCCTTCACTCTACAAGGCTAGAGAGAGAGAGAAAGATTCATTAAAATAGGTATACTTTATTTCACAGCTTTTAAGGTAAAAATGTTACCCATTTTGAGGTGAAAATTACCATAACTAATCATCAATTGCACCTAGCCACACCCAGTAAAACCACGCCCATTTTAACCCAAACCACACCCACTACTCACAAATTGTACTCCACAGAGAAATGCCTCCACAGTCCCGGCCATAAAGGCAGCACAATTGAAGCTGCTTTGCTCCTTTGGTACTGAGACAAACTTATTAACTAGTGGCTCGTCCTCAAATAAATAATCTATAAAATAACAACAACAACAACAACAACAATAATAATAATAATAATATTTACAAGTTGCTTCAGTTGCTGTTGCCTGCTCCAGCCGATCAGCTTCTTTACCAAACAAAGTCTGGAAGGAGCAACAGAAATAAATAAAGTTTTAAAGTTACTTTATACGCATAAAGTATCTCCTTACCTTCCAGACTGTCTTTTGTATGAACCACAAAATGTTCACGATTCTTGTTTCCCTTTTCGGAGCTCTGTCCCTCACACACAACAAATCAATCATCCTGAAACCGACATGACGCCCTAAATCAGCCAATCTTGAAGGAAAGAAGAGAAGAGAGAGAAAATAAATGATGCTGATATAGTTATAAACTAACTTTTCATGAAGCTGGGCTAATGAGGTAACCCTTTGCTGGTTGTACTGAACAACTTCAGAGAACAAGAAGGCAAAAGTACTGATATTAACCTGAGAGGAAGGGAGAGAGAAAGGGAATACAGTATAAAGTTTAAAGTTAGCTATAGAGCATGCAAACTTCTGGTTTGGACTTTGACGGTAAGGATTTGTCGAAAACTGTCTCATTTGCTTTCTGCCTCCTAACGGCCGCCATCTTAAAATACTAAAGGGTTAAAAATTATGGAGAGTGACGTCATTAAGAAGGAATGCAACCTTATGAAAACAACCTATCATAACTAAGAACATGCCACCAGAAATGAAATTAAAATGGAGAATTCTCACCTTTTTATTTTTGGTAAAATTTGGCCTGAGACCATGCACTACAGTACAGGGCCTGATTTTGGAGCAACTTAAAAAATTCATAAAAAATCTAATTTTAATTGGAATCAGCTCAAACTTTCTACACAACATAAAAACATGTATATGCATCAGGGAATGTTATAAAAAGGAGGATTCTCACCTTTTAATTTTTTGCAAAATTTGACCCAAAACTGTGTACTATAATAGTACAGGGACTTTGACCTGATTTTGGAGCAACTTTAAGAATTCATAAAAAATCCAAATGTGATCAAAATCAGCTCAAACTTTCTACACAACATAAGAACATGTATACGTATGAAGGAATGTTATAAAAATAGAGAGTTCGCAACTTTTTATTTTTAGCAAAATTTGACCCAAGACTGTGTACTAAAAAAACTTTGGCTCTATTTTGGAGCAACTTTAGAAATTTGTAAATAAACCAGTTTTGATTGAAACTAGCTCAAACTTTCTACACAACATAAGAACATGTATATGTATCAGGGAATGTAATAAAAATGAAGAATATTCTCCTTTTTATTTTTGATGAAATTCCGCCAAAATCCCTGTACTATAGTACAGGGACTTTGACCCAATTTTGGAGTAAATAAAAAAATTTATAAAAAATCCAAATGTAAACGGAATTAGCTCAAACTTTCTATACAACATAAGAACATGTATATGTATCAGGGAATGTTATAAAAATGGAGAACTCTTACCTTTTATTTTTTTGCAAAATTTGACCTGATACCATGTACTATAGTACAGGAACTTTGGCTTGATCTTGTAGCAACTTTAGAAATTTGTAAAAAATCCAGTTTTGATCGGAACTAGCTCAAACTTTCTACACAACGTAAGAACATGTATATGTATCAGGAAATGTTATAAAAATGAAGAATTCTCTCTTTTTCATTTTTGGTAAATATGGTTGATGACCCTGTACTACAAGTAACAGGGACTTAGGCCTGATTTTGGAGAAACTTTAAAAATTCATAAAAAATCCAATTTTAATCGGAATCAGCTCAAACTTCCTATACAACATAAGTACATGTATACGCATCAGGGAATATTTTTAAAATGGAGAATTCTCACCTTTTCATTTTTGGTTAAATTTGACCCGAGACCGTGTACTATAGTGTTGGGACTTTGGTCTGATTTTTGAGCAAATTAAAAAATTCATAAAAAATCTAAATGTGATCAGAATCAACTCAAACTTTCTGCACAACACCAGAACATGTATATGTACTGGAGATTCTTATTAAAATGGAGAATTCTCTCTTTTTAATTTTTGGTAAAATTTGGTTGATGACCGTGTACAGGGACTTTAGCCTGATTTTGGAGTAAACTTAAAAATTCATAAAAAATCTAATTTTAATCAGAATTAGCTCAAACTTCCTATACACCACAAGTACATGTATATGTATCAGGAAATAGATTAAGAGAGCAAAGGGAACCATACTATACCACATTGCATCACATGAGTAGCTTCACACCACATTAATGAAGTTTCCTCTTACTAATATCAGCAATTAAGAACACTAATGAGTTATGTAATATCACTATGATATGCAGCTAGTAATCATTAGGATTAATCATCATAAGACTGTGCAGTTCAATTTATAGCATTAAGTTTAAATCAGAAAATATTGCTAACTGAGATTGGAGATGCTCAAAAATTAAAAAAATAATGCAAGTTAAAAATCAATTAGTTAAAAGCACACACAAAAACAAATTTTAAAGGATGCAATCTTCTTTAATATTAACTGAATACTATCATTATGATGACTTACCAAATACAAATCTTGTGAATTCAGTGAAATTTTTTACTAGAAAGCAGTCATGTGTTGCCAAACCATGAAATTCCACTTTATAATCTTCAGCCTGCTTGAGCTACAGAATCCTACTGAAATTCCAGCTCCAATAATACTCATATAACTCACCCTTCGCCTTGCTACCAGTCTGCAGCATATCTTGCCGACCTTCAGCTAAAACAATGTATACCTTGTTCTCGCCTCCTTGCAGTATGCGGTCGCGACAATTAGTCTCCATGTCTCTGTGTATAACAGCTCTCAAAGTATTGGTGTATATAGCACGAGGAGAGAGGCCATACATCACTACAGTCCAGGAAGACACCAGGACAAGGCCACGAGCTGTTCACTCTCCCTGTTTCTCTCCTCTATCAGTTTACAAGATGTCAATTAGCACCTCATTAAGGCTGGGTGAGGAGTGTTTTATTAGCTGTACAGAGGTGTTGATTAGTAATGATGAGTGTTGGCCTTTAGTTGCATACTGCCTGCTTTGATGTCCTAGTTTTAACCTCCATAATTATCACTATTTATACTTTAAAATGAGCTATCATCTCTCCCTCTACCTCTTTTACTACCTCAAAATGAGCATCATTTTCTTATTTATTGTTGCCATCTATCACAGTCTCATCCTCTCTCCTTCTCTCTCTCTCTTCCTCTCTTTCCATCATGGAGGACAATTGCAACCATATTAGGTCTAAATCCTGTCATGCGACTTATAATTGTGTAATCCGATTGGCCGTAGCGTGTACATGTGTTTGTGAGAGAGAGGGAGAGGGAGAGAGAGGAGAGGGAGAGGGGGAAAGAGCACGAGATCACCATATGCTTCATGTGCCCGGACCAGACAACAATAGTGAAGGGTTTAACCTATTTTAATATTAATAATTGTTATAACGTGGCTAACCGACCCTCCTATATGAATACTAAATAATACACTAAATATATACTCTCCATTATGTTGCATTACTGGGTCTTTGACAGCAGCGTGGTTTCTATAGAAATACAGTATTTGACTTAAGCACGGTCTTACACATTCATTTGCAGTCGGGGCTGCATACCTTAATGTAAGATCAATTGTCAGCGTAAGCTATAGTTCATTCAATAGATTATTAACATATTAATGTACTCCACCACAGGTCGGCTAGACAGACAGGATTGTGCCAGCTGCAGAAAGAATGAATTACGTCATTTTCCACTGGGTCTTATAAGTAAAGGTAACTCTACAGTGTAGCCTCTTTATTAAGGACACCATTGAGCCCACATTATTTGTCCTCAATACAGGGTTGTCCTCAATTCAGAGGTACTTTGTATAGGCTTGTATCAATTGGGGCATTACAAAATGTTCTCATTATAGACGCTACACTGTATTTCATTTACATACGATGTAGGTTTGGTATTTTAAATGGAGTCGTAGTGTCTGGAGTGTTGTTGATGTCCATGGAATATCGGCACCCATCCAGTTAAAACCTTCAACGATCCACTCGTGCAGCTATGGGTCCCTAGACTAGCACCAGTGGGTGATTGTGTCAGGAGGTGTGTGATGGTGGTCGGTGTTTCGTGGACACCAACAATGCAAGGACAAGTCACTGGAGAGATGAGCAGTGAAGGATCTGATACAGCAATACTCCAGCTGGAAGCTGAGACCGGTAATATTGTGAAGACTCTCTCTCTCTTTCTTCACAATGGACAGCAGATAAGGACATGCTGTTTCCTTGTAAGTATTATTATTATTATTATTATTATTATTTAATGACAAATTATGTTGTAGTTTTCTCTTTTGTATTATCATATTGCCAGGTGTTTGCTTGTTTTGCATGTTTCATCTAAGATACTTCAAATTTTACATAATATACAGTCTTTAATGATGATCTAACTAGACAATAAATTGTAGTAAAATAAAAGCTATTAAAAGTTTGCAAGATGTCTTCATGTATTGACTTTTCCTGGATTTATTGACAATGTGTTGCTTTATCTAAGACAACTCCTCTAACTAATAGTGAGTAATGAAAACACCTCCTCCTAATACTCTCTCAGTCTCTGTCTCCAGTAGTAAATACACTATTGCTGCACTATATTGAAGAGTATAGCTTTGAAAATACAATGATGACTAGAATCAGATATGTCTCTACATGTACATGCAAAAATGCAACAATCTATATCATGATAGCTGTAATGATAATGGTATAGTATGCATGTAGTTTAAGCAGCTCAGGATTGCAAAATGATTAGTTTATATCTTGTGTTGCAGTACATGTTGTAGTGTATGATTGTGAATGGTACCAGTTCTAATGATGCAGTTCTCACAGTTTATTATGACAAAATATCAGCATAACATTTTGAAGCTGTTCCTCTTGCAGTCTAAATATATATATATAATATAGCATTAAATATACTTCTTTTCATTGCATCTTCTAAACATTTTCATGTCATTATTTTTAAAAGACATTTCCTGCAAATATCATCAATAAACTACATGTGTTCATGTACATGTACTTGTTCCATCGTGTCCCGTGGTAGCAAGGTATTCTGTGATTAGAATTGCTTCAGCTTTTACTGAGAATGTCTTTAATTTGTTACTTGGAATGTACATGAACATGTAGGACCATTAGTTCAGGGATTACTAATTTGTACAGCATTTAACATTAAAAGAGAGGGAGAGAGATGAAAGGTGAGAGCGTGTAGTTGACCTTTAGAACCAAAAGGAGGTACTAAAGATACGCTAATTGTGGTTTACGTACAATCGCAAGTATTCTAATTTCAGCTTCCAATACTACACTAACATATCATTAATATAATTATTAGATATTCTTACTAATATTGAATATTATTATTATTATTATAGTCTACATTCCATTTCACCTCATTCTCATATCAATTGTTTTATCTGTGACCTCATTCCCTCTCTCTTTGTTTTATTACTCAAATTAGGACCTTCCCTTAAACTTTTCCCCTTTACTGTTAACATAGAATCAGTTCCGCTTCTCCCCCTCTTTCTCTCCCCCTCCTTATTGTATGTCCTCCTATTGTTGCTATTATTCGTGGTAACGGTGTGAAGGTTTTGTTCATTCTTTATTGTTTATTGTAAGGAAAGGAAATGGAGGGAATCCCGTCACCTCTGCAGCTGTTACCGTACCATTGTGTGCCATTGTTTATATTTAAATTATAATAATGTCAATATTTATATAAAGGCATAATAACTCCATTACTTGATTAACTGTAGCTCCATAGCCTCTATATAATGGACACTTTGGGGCAAGGCAGTGTCTCTGTTATACAGAGGTGTCCTTTATGTGGAGGTTATTTTATACAGTAAGGAATGTAATTGGTACACTAGGTGCTGTCCGTTAAATGGAGGTGTACGCTATAGAGAGTGTCCATTAAGAGAGACTATACTGTACATATACATGCATAGAAAACGCAAGTACATTTATTGATACTAAAGACACAGACAGTAGGTGTATACATATATAAATGTGAAGCCTCTACTGTACAGCCTCTACTTAGCTAGTTCAAGCTGTCCTAGACAGTTTGACTCCAGTGGGAGTTGATAGGTAGGGCCAAAGATTGCTTGTGGCCAAACCAATAATGGCCCTATATACACTGGCTGATATGGGTCTACTTCACTGTAGTATAGTTATGTGTATATCTGATCTCACTAGGTGAAAATCGGGCTTCTTTTGCTAGGGATCCGATTACAATAAAAATTAAGCTTCATTTGCAATAAGGATATGAAACAAAACCTCTCCTTAATACAGAGGTGTCTCATTTCAGAGGTACTTTTGTACAGGCTTGTACCAATTGGGACATTACAAAATGTCCTCATTATAAAGGTGTCCTTATTACAGATTGTACATATTAAAGAAAATAATATTATGACTTATAATCTAGGCTTAATAACAATTTTATTTTGTATCTAAAATACTTCAAACTTTATATATACACTTCTTAATGACACATCTAGCAGTGAAATAAATTAGAGACATTTCTGAATACATTATTAGTGGAATAGGAACTTGAGAGAATTTTGTAAGATGATTACACGTAACCTGGCAACAGTATCTAAGAAGCAATATCTCTTCATAAAGTAATGCAATGTACCTATATGTCACTTGAACTCATGAATAATAAAGAATTACTAAAAATACAATTTAAAATCCCAGAAAAATACGCCGCTATTAATAATACTGTATAGCCTCTCTTAATGGACACTCTCTATAGCGTACACCTCCATTTAACGGACAGCACCTAGTGTACCAATTACATTCCTTACTGTATAAAATAACCTCCACATAAAGGACACCTCTGTATAACAGAGACACTTTCAAAGTGTCCATTATATAGAGGCTAGTCTGTACACACTCCATTATATTAAATATAAATGCTAAAACTACAGTACCTCCATTACAATACAGTATATAGTGTCACTATTGTACTAATTGTTGGTTAAATGTCATCCTTCCTCCTTCTCTCCTAATTCTTGTGGTAGTATCAACGAGACACTGTGACTACACCATCAGCCACACCTCCTAACCAACCAATCCACTAGTCATTACATATTGACCATCCCTCCCTCCCTCTCCAACGCCCTCCATCACAATCGTCCTCTCCCTCTTTCAAAATACATTATCTCAAATTAAAGTGTTCATCGACAATCATTTATAGATCTATGCGAGTACATTAATACTGATATTAGCTAATAAAGAACATATATGTACATGTACCTGTGTTATATGTACAGACTAGCCTCTATATAATGGACACTTTGAAAGTGTCTCTGTTATACAGAGGTGTCCTTTATGTGGAGGTTATTTTATACAGTAAGGAATGTAATTGGTACACTAGGTGCTGTCCGTTAAATGGAGGTGTACGCTATAGAGAGTGTCCATTAAGAGAGACTATACTGTAGGTGTATCTATTGTTTAGTTATAAGAATTGGTGCCTCCAAGTCTTAGGGTAATGAAAACAGGCGTCAACTAGAGGGCTAGTCCTGGGTATGGGTTCTTGACACAAACCAACCAATTACCTGAATTAATATGTGAACGGCCCATTATACATGAACATTATTACATTACTTATACACACACACACACACACACACCTTGATTGTGTACATGTACATGTATTAGGGCATCATGAGGACTGAGATATCTGCTTGAGGTGAAGCTGAGGGCAGATATCAAGGGACTCAGGTATTACATTACTGATACTCACCTCCAGACACACACACTGGTCACTCTATGTTACAGTAGTTATAATAATGATAAACCTATACTGCATTATCTGCTGTATTGTACAGGTATTTAAAAGGTGACAACAAACGTTTGGTAGTACAGACAAAAAGGAACACAATCCCTCAGTTACTTTTGGCAGTAGTTCTTAGACATAGTGACTCTACTGTACAATAGAACACAAACACACACTCACAATAGCTACATTATACACTAATCCCTTTATCCTTTCATTGTCCCCCTTACCCTCGTACCTCTTCCCCCCTCTCTCCCCCTCTCCCTCTATCCCATTCCCCTAGTTATTACACTGTAGTCAGTTGGTCTACCCCACACTGCAAGTGGCCATTACCACAACTATTGGTAAAGCATTTGAAGGTAATCCTTTAAAAATACACAGTGAGGGAGAGAGACACACTCGTGGTAAACACATGATTCAAATAAATAAATTAATAAAATTAATAAATAAATAATGATTAAAGTACATGTATAATGCATGTAGATTTGTTGATGATATATACATTATATTTATTTATTTATTTATTGTAGATTTAAAGAGAGAGAGAGAGATAGAGTTAAAGGTGACATTGGTACAGTGAAGGTGTGAAAGGTTAAGTTTTTACAAGAGAGATCTTAGAAGAGTGTTATGGACAAACAAAGTTACTATGGAAACCACTGAGCTATAGTAATGGAACATACAGACTAGCCTCTATATAATGGACACTTTGGGACAAGGCAGTGTCTCTGTTATACAGAGGTGTCCTTTATGTGGAGGTTATTTTATACAGTAAGGAATGTAATTGGTACACTAGGTGCTGTCCGTTAAATGGAGGTGTATGTCCATTATGATGTAATATACACAATAAAAAGTTAACATTTAATTAATGACAAAAAAGTTATTTCTTATTATTTAGTCCATTTCATTAACATTGCACACATTATTACTTATTAT